GAAATCCAATAATTCATTTATTTAAGGTCGACGCGATTATCGGCATGAAGAGTTATGAGTACGAGAGCAGTATTAAAATGTTGTGATATACACACACATATTGTTAGGTTTTTTTGTTGGCATGAATGATAACAATATTCAAGAAAATATCCAAAAAGCAAATTTGAAATTCAATAGGAGATAAAAGTTTAAACTGAATTCAAAGATGTTTATCAGCTAAAATCGTGGGGAGGTATAGTTGAATTTTTATCTCAGCTGTCAAAGACTTGGAAAAGAAGTGAAAAGATTTAGAAGAAATAATTACAGATTTTGCAACATTCAAATTTTGAGAAATCCGATATCTGACCTTAGGATTTCATCTTGCTCTATATAATACTTAAATAGATGTAATTGAAGACTTCATGGGTTTGACACAGTACTTTGAGAAGTTTACACTTCACGGTTTTCGAGAGTTCACACATAGAACTTCGAGCTTTTGTATTCTACGTTCTTCTTGAGAAGAAGTTATTGTCTCCAGGAAAAGATGACCTGCGAGTTCAACCAATCATTGTTTTTAAGATAAGAATTTGAAGTTTTCGGAGAAAACGAACTACTAAATGAAGAGTTTGAAGACGAATGATGTTTACTGAACTAGTTATTGCAAGACTAAGGTGACAATTATGAGAGGGAGTTTTTAGATTGTATAAGTCTATTAGTGATTGTAAATTAATTAGTGGATTGTTTAATAACTAGATATGGCCTCGTGGATGTAGATTTTTACTAAACCACTTAAAAATTCCCTGAGTAGCTTTCGATAATTATTTAATCTAGTTAAATAACTTGCATTCAGCAAATTAATAAAACAGGTTCATTATAGTTTTTGTTGCAATAAAACTTGCAACAAAAACACTATAATAAATCTTTCTCAAACACACTTATACATATATATATATGGGTGTGGTTTTAATAGTTTATCTAATATTTATCTATCAATAGGTATTATTTTTTAGCAGTAAGATATTGATCCGGTTGTAATAAATTATATAGTTGTCCAAAAAAATTTATGACAATTAATAAGATAAGATTATTATCACGATATGTCATCTATATTTGATGGTAACTACTGATAAAAACGTAACAATAAAAAACTCATCTATATATATGCAAAGTCTTAAACCCAGTGATCATAGAGTCCGGTAAATGTTATGTTACATCGTTGGTTCTTACATGTAATTTTTTTTTCATATGCTCGTGTAACACTCAATATTGCATACGTTAAATTATATTTATTTATAATGTTACGTGAAAATAAACTGAGTGTTACATATATATGTAGTTTCACAGACATAAAAAAAAAAAAAAAAAAAAAAAACACATATCTAATTGATCGAGATGCCACACTTAAGATAATTCTTATGTATATATATTTCATAATTAAGCTGCCTTCGATTCGACTTTAATATATTTTGTTTGAGATCACGAGTATTATATCAAATACTAATTTTCAAATTGACACTGGTAAGATAATTACTAACATCGTTCGTGGGTACAATGGCCAGTTAAATTTTCAAATTACACTAGCGGTCAAAAGTTTTTATTTTTGCTTGTCAGAGGTTATTTAAGGAGATATTGCAAGTTTTCTAAATTATTGATCCATTAATTAACCAACTTGATCTCTGAGTAAGCATCGACAGGATTCTCTTTATTATTATTATTATTATTATTATTATTATTATTATTTACTAGGAGGTATTTGATGAATTGACATATTTAGAATTAATTTTTAAAGTGCGAGTTTTAACTTAGGGTGAGTTTGCGATTGTTTTTGCAACTTTTTAAAGCAATTTGCACCAAAAAAAAAATTGATGCCTATTTGATGAACTGACATATTTAGAATTGATTTTTAAGGTGCGAGTTTTAACTAGTAAAAGATTAAAAAAGCACTTTGCATAAGCTCTAATGTACTCTTAAAAGTTATTTGGAGAAATTAAAATTTGTAACTTTTAAATTTTATTTCTATTTCTACTCTTACTTTTAAGTAAATAGGTGCTTCTACTAAAAGCACAACAATCTCAAACTCAGCCTTAATCCTTTCAAAGCAATTCTTTACTCATGGTTTTTATAGGAAAAAGAGAGAAATAGGCCAAGACTTGAGATGAATTAAAATTAATAGACCAATAGTTTACATAAGTTAATAAATAGGTCAAATTATTGTTTTTGTCAATAACTTGTCTGGTTATGAACTATAACTTAGATAAGTTATTGTTCATAATTCACGATTTTTGTCCATTAACTTGTCTGGCTATGAACCATAACTTGACAAGTTTGTCCATAACTTATCTAGTTATAAATCATAACTTGACAAATTATGACCTATTAATTTTTATAACTAAAAGTTAACCTATGTACTTTCTTAAGTTTTTATATTAGCCTATTTTCTACTATTTCCGGGTTTTTATTTGTCTTGTAATGGGTTTTATTCAGCTTGTTTTCTTTGGGCCTTTGGTATGTTTCATCGTTTCTTTTCTAGATAGATTAGACTAGATAGAATTCTTTGGGCCTTTGGTATAAGAAAGGTGTCGGTTGGGATACATTATGTTACAACTTAAACTTGGGCTCTTTATAGGAAAGCCACATATTTATATCTTGGATTTATATAACACTAGAAAAAGAAATTATATAAAATTCTATACCTTGTCATACTATTATATTTAGAGCACTAAATATAACGTTGGTATTCATCGGGATACCATTTGGTGATTGGCAGCATCCACGATACTGGTTGATTACCATCGGTATTCATCCTAATAACCGTTAGTATCCACCATGAACTATTGGTACTGGTAACTGTACTTCCACCGGGTTTCCTACCAGTATACTTCAAAACATCTATAAAAAAAAAAACACAAATAATCCACAAAATGTAATATATATATATATATATATACATATATATACATATATATATGTATGTATCTATGTATACCTCAAAAAATCTTAAAAAGAAAGACAACATTAAAAATAAACCAAAAATACAAACAAATTTTGCTGCACTGGAACGACCATCTCAAAACTAATTTTGAGGCATCGTTCGCTTCGCAGATTCGAGTTTTCAATTCAAGTTGAGATGTGATATTTTCTGAGAGCTTTAACTGTAGTAGAAAAAGTTAGATATGACAGTTTTTGAGAGCTTTTAACTGTAGAAACTTAAAACTGAAAACTCGAATTAGTAAAATGAACGAGGCATGTGTATTATTTTATGTCCGGGTCTTTTCTCATGAAAAATGCTAGCGTCATTTTTTTGTCAGTTTTTGTATTCACTATTTGACATGTGGACTCTGCTAATATTATATATATATATATATATATAATTTAACAGAAAATGAGATAATGGAATTCACGTGTTAAACAATAAATGCAGAAAGTGACAAAGAAAGTGACAGACGCTAGCATTTCTCATTTTCTCATCATCAGTTTCACTCCAGAATGAGTTGAATTTGCTGAGCCAAATCCGGTATAAGAACGTTATCAAACTTTTGGGTTGGTACATTCATGGCAAATTACAAGGCTACTTGCTTATGAAAAAATTACAAGGATACTTGTTTATGAAATGATGCTGAATGGGTCACAAGAAATGTGACTACATGGGATGTTATTTCTAATTCGTCTCAATTGAGGGGAAAAGAAAACATGTTGAATTCAACACTCAACTTTGTATTTGATATTTTGCAATTATGTTTGATCAATTTTGTAGGGGCCTTGTAGACGAGGTCTTTGTAAAAATAACTCAATAGAAAAGTTTTATTAGTAAAATAACTTTTTTAAAATTTTTATTTGTAAAATAACCACTTTTTATAAAAAATGATTAAGTGGTCCTTCTTCGTAAAAAAATAAAGAATGTCATTTTACTAATTTTATTTTGTTGGATAGTCATTCTAGCATATTTTTCCTTATAGATCTGGCTACGATCTCTCGTTTTCAATTTGGCTTCGTGTTGAAGACACATCACACACAAGGGAGAAATCTACCACGGTGAATGTTGAAGCAAGAAATTCTTGTGAAAGTGGACTAAGCTAAATTGAATTTTCTTGATTGTTTTTCAAATTATGTTAATGGATATTTAGTCCCGAGACTGCTAAGGGCCTTTTTGCATATACACTTGCTGAATTTGATCACAGATGTTAGGATTATACTCTAGTTGTGAGCTTTAGATGCATAATTGGAGCAAGTTTTCTTATTCTGAATCGAGTTCATCTTGTATTTTGTCAAATTTTCTTATAAAATTTAGATTCTTAGTGATATGGTCTACTTTTATTGTGATCTGATAGCTTCTCAAAATTCCGTATGAAATTTCAATAAGATTTTTATAATATTTTGTTGGACATTAATCGAACTCCTCCGATCTATCACATAGTTGTAGTCAACTCTAGGTGTTGCATTTGTTTTAGCTAATCAGGGATTCGAGTGCCTCATGCTTATCTTTAGTTGTTGAATCCTTCTGGAAAGTCTTCATACCTGATTATCTTCAAGTTTAGTTTTTTTTTTTTATTGACACGTTTACGGTAAAGATTGAGTGATGAAATTTGAAATTATTCTGTGTCGCTCATCCGACTAAATTAAAGACTAATTTATTTTACTGATTTAAATTTTTAATTTAAATTTAGATGTGATTTTATTTAATATCACTATTTTTAAGAATTTTTTAATATAATAAAATTTAAATTCTAAACTCGAATAACGAGAGCTAAAAATGCAAACCATCCACCAAGGCCCCACCAGTTTGGTCTCGCCGACCGTGACAACAATGACTGTTCTCATGAATTTTTCCAGCCGGTTTTAATCAGTGGTACTCAGTTCGCCGTGGGTTTCGGTTGTCTTGAACACACCCTTTTATGAGGTTTTATTGCACAAACGACACAAAGCATGTCGTTTTACTGAAACGACTACAAACTTTAGTTTAAAAGGATATGTCGTTTCTTCCCGAGCAAAGCGTCACTTCGGTTTAATCTCTCCAACAACGTCGAAAGATTCAAAACTCCCAGAAAATTGATTCTTTGTCACGCTGGAAAATGGCTTTCCTAAAGAAAACGCTGCACAATTGTTTATGATTCGATCCAGCTAAAATCCAACGAATTCAATGGCAAAATTCAAGAAACTTCTGTCAATCCCGATCCTCGCCGTGTTTCTGCTGGTGGGTTTCGTGTATTACATCACGGTTTTCATTTTTATTGAGGATTGGGTTGGGCTTAGGAGCTCCTCTGGATCTCTAAATGCTTTGATCTTCACTTTCCTCGCCTCTCTCTGCGTTTTCTCTTTCTTTGTCTGTGTTCTCACCGACCCAGGTCACGTCCCGGCTTCTTATGTCCCTGATGTTGAAGAAAGTGATGAACAAACCAACGGAAATGTAAGTTTTTTCTGCATGATTGCTTAAGTTATGATCTGGGTTTTTTGTGTTTTATTTGCTTTGTAATTGGGTTGATGAGAAAATTGAGCTAGAGAGGAGAATTTTGATGTCTTTAGTGTTATGTTTTGTTTTGGATGTTGAGGAAAGTGAAAGTATAACTATAAACTTGATTCTTGCGGGAAAGATTTATTTTGAAGAACAAAACATGTGCTTTTCTTTTCTAGTAGGTTGAGAGTTTATGCATTTATTTGGCTGCTAAGAAATTTATAATAATCATCACAACAATGGCTATTTGTCTATTTAAGGCCTAAATATGGTGTTTGAATTAAAGAAGAAGAAAAATCTGGGGCATTGGCTAAGGGTGAGGCCTTAAACAATGGCCTTAGGGGCCTCACCTTTGAGCCGGCTATGTGCTTAGTAGGTTATTAAGGAAATCTGGAAATGGAATCTAGATGTGGGGAATTTTAAAGTCAATTGCATTGCTTGTTAAAACTTAAAAGAGAGCTTGCAGACTTGATTTTTGTACTCTATCCATTCCATTCAGGTGAGATGAATCAATTGTGATTCTTTGCTAATGTAATGTAGTAGACAATATAGGTGTTATAAGAGAGATAGTGAATATGGGTTTCATTTCACAAACTTGCATCACTTATTTTACTTCACTGTAATGCAACATATACATTTTTGACCGAATTGTGTGTGTGTTTTTTGTGGTAGAAACCAAATTGTGTTTTGTAAATCATATGGAATTAAGAGTATCTAAACTATCTAAGTTTGAAAGTCTTTTTTCATGGTTTCTTTTCTTTCTGACAGAGTGTGCAATCGAAGCTTTGTGACAAGTGCTCCACATACAAGCCTCCGAGGGCTCACCATTGCCGAGTCTGTAAAAGGTGTGTTTTGAGAATGGTAGGTCAGAGGACATTCATATGCCCTATTTTTAACACGTGACTTTTTGTTTAGAGGCTTAATGAGATGTGTAATTTATGATTCTTTCTCTCTACAAAATTCAATGCAGGATCATCATTGTATGTGGGTAAATAACTGTGTTGGCTATTGGAACTACAAGGCTTTTTTTGTACTTGTCTTCTATGCAACGATCGCAAGCATCTATTCCACGGTAAGTCGGATATGCATCTTTCTGATCTTTCTTGTCAATAATATAAGATGCCTTGAGCTATAACATAAACTCATTAATATTCAGGTCATGGTTATTTCGTGTTCGTTTCAAAAGGACTGGGAGTTCAGTGGATATCTCCCGCTCAAGATTTTTTATGTGAGTTAATTATTTGTCTTTCTCACTCAACTTTTATTAATAAGGTTCACTTCTGGAATCTTTTTTTTTTTTTTCTTATCTTCTTTTTTCCTTCTTTACTGAGGTGGTTTAATTAGGCCATCTAGTTCAAGAACTTCTTCGTTTGCATTGCTATTTACTTTATTCCATATTCACGTTCGGTTGGGTTTTTTTCATTGCCATTTCTTATTTGAATTCTTGTTTTCACCATATCCTGTATACAATCATGTATATGATGAAAAGGGGAACAAGATCTTTTTCGAAGTCTTTTAAAGTGGCTAAAAGATTTCGGTTTAATATCCGTTTCAGTCTAGGGGTGGCACTAATTATCGAAGTTAAGCTTTTTTACCTACCTATTGATTCTTGTGAATGTTTGCCATTCTCTAACCGTTTTAGAGATTTTCACCCGCCATTGTTCCAGATTAAGCTTATTCACTTGCTTAGGAATCAAGATTCTAGGAGTCTGCTGAATGATTTGTTAAACACTCCACAGTTCTTGAGCTTTTGTGTTGTTTTAGTGCTTGTCCGTTAACCGAACTTAAACTTTTTAGACCTGACTTACCATTGAAATCAGTTGTCTACACATTTGTTTGTGGGCAAAGAAGTAAAAATTTTATAACTTTTAAGGTTACTTGTGGAGTAATGATGGTTTCCTTGAGCTTGACACTTGGTACTCTCTTGGGTTGGCATATCTACCTCATCAACCACAACATGACAACCATAGAGGTGGGTTATATAATAAATTAATAGCTAAGTTTCCGACATTTGACATGCCTTTCTCTGTTGTCTTCTTTTTGGTAATTATTTATACTGACAAGAAACCGTTCTTTTACCAGTACTACGAAGGAATACGGACGGCATGGCTGACTAGAAAATCCGGGCAGAACTATCGGCATCCTTTCAACGTTAGTGCTTACAGAAACATTACCTTGGTATATCACTCTCTCTCCATCCATGCTTTTGTTTGAATGTCTATTAATTCTTCATCTCACTCTATGTATTAACAATCAGACACATCCTAAATCTGCTCTTATAATTTGATATCCTAATTGTTCTTCCTCCTGATCAGGTCTTGGGTCCAAACATGCTGAAATGGCTCTGTCCAACTTCAGTGAGCCATCTGAAAGGCGGCCTCTCGTTCCCCGTTTCGCGTGACAGTTCATAGACGATTACTTCTCTCTTGGATTTCAAAATCAAGTGTATCATTCATTGCCTTCCAATCAGCAGAAGACGGCAAGAGCGGCCCGCTAAATGTTGCTACACAGCCATGGCGAAACTTCTACAGTGATGTTAGATATGATGGTGAGAAACCAGGTAGACCATTTATTCTTTTTTACCAAACCTGTAGAGGAAGTGGAGACAAATATTTTGTTACAACACTCGAATGGCAGAGGAATTATACACTCAACTTAGATCACTCGAAACCACATTTCTTGTACTATTAACATGTGTAGAAAAAGAGGAAAATTTGTATTCCATGTCAGAAAACAATTTCTTTATGTCTTTCTTAATAAACATCTTCAAATACGTTGTATTAATTTGGATTACCGGTTGTGCCCCTGCGATATTGGTGGTCATTTTCTTGAGGCAGAATATGGGTGGTAAAATTAAAAAGACGGACCCCACTTTCACCGTGAAATAATTCATTAAGTACCAAAGTTTTCAATCAAAATATTCGATACCAACCAACGTGACATCTTTTGTATTGATTGATTTGACATCTTTTGAGCCACATCAGTAATTGGAAGGTTCCTTTGATAACGGTGAAGTTATTTGTTTCTTTTACTTTATCCCGTAGAAAGACACGTTTTCAATGTATAATTAGGCGTCGTTCATTAAACCGATTTGAATTTTTAATTTTGAACTTCGTTTATTTTGTGAATTTGAGTTTTTAATTTGAGCTGAGATGTGATATTTTCTGACAGCTTTTCACTGTAGTAGAAAAAGTTAGATGTGACATTTTTTGATAGCTTTTTACTGTAGAAACTTAAAACTGAAAACGCGAATCGATGAAATGAACGAGACTTTAATTTTATTACAGTTAACAACTCTCATAAAAAGTCATATTTAATTTTTTTATTACAGTTAAAAATTATCACATAAAGTACATCTCAGCTCAAATTAAAAATTTGAATCGACAAGTTAAACGATGCATTAATTTTAATAATTTGATGACTTGTTAGAAACTGAGCTATAATAATAATAATAAAAGTTAAAAAAACAAGTGTTCACTTAAACTGATTGAATTCCAGTATCTAATAAAGATCTTACTGCGTCTGACTAATAAACTGATTGATTTTATGTGGGGATTAGGTTGATCTAAGGCCACATTTTGTCCCTGCCAAAAGAAGAGAGAACATATGCTACTGAAGGAAAATTGTTTGCTTTCCACTCATAGAGAGTAACAATGATATGCTTTTTTTTTTTCTTTGACCACTAATTATAGCAAATTCAATAAGATTATGAAAAGTAGGTGCATATAAATCTTATCAAAATCTGACGGTTAAGAAATGATTACGACTGATAGGATATATTTTCGTAGTCTATCATATATTTTTTACTTTAAAATTTAGGAAAACTATGGATAATCCAAGGTCAGGTTTGTCTGGTTTTGGACAATCGAATTTTTGTGACACTAAAATTGAATGTAGGGGTCATCATGCTTTTTTGTGAAAGCAGATTGCCACCGCAGTAATATGGGGCATAACACACAACAATCTGGCAATCTGGCCTTGTCACTGTGATATTCATGCTCCGTTTGGTAAGAGAGATGAAAAGTAGTAAAAATAAAAAAGATTAGAGTGATGTCGAATATAAAAGATAGAGAATATTATAATTATCTTTTATATTATGTAGTAGAAAAGATGAATGGATAATTAAAATGATAGATGATAATTATTTATTTAATTATTATATTATCTATTTTATAATTTGATAATAGTTTCTTTTGGATGATAAAATAGACTTTTTAGTTTAGATTTGATGGATTTGTGTGGAATCTTTCACCTCCAATCAAACATACCCAAGTGAGGTTTCTTTAATCTCGTGGCCCTTCTCACTTAAATTATCAGGTGGGGCTCACTATTTATGAAAACGGCAGATTTTGAGTGTAGTTGAATATCATTTTTGTACACAAAAATCTGCTCATTGTAGTGATTATTTCGCTTAGATTTGCCCCCTCCATCAGGTTGGTGATGTGTCATTGACAGTTGCAGTTAGGCCGGATTTTTTGTGCAGACCTACCAAATACAACCAGATAATGATTATTTTTCTAAATAAATTACATAGGTGATTGTTATGACCTGGAGGTATGAAAACACAAACAACTGGTGAAAAGGCCAGATGTTATAAAAGTGACATTGATCGCCGAAACATTTTTCAGACGCAAGAAATTACGAGTCAAATTCAGAATGATTAGACGTTTAGTTCATAGATTAGAATTATTAGATTAGAATAATTTTTGATTTATGTGTATTTTTTATGAGAGAAAATACTATAGTGAATCATAAATCATAATTCGAATCAGGATACGAATTCCCTTATTAAACGTCCCCTAAAATCGTTACTCAAGCTGTGCTGGAGTGATATGGGTTTTGAAATGAGAAATATAATAAAAAAAAAGTCCAAATTTTCAGGAAGATCAAAGTGTCAACAATTTGAAAAATATGGACGTATTTCACTAGTTATCATACATTTGATTTGAAGGAAACTAATCACGTGTTATTGACATTAAAGAACGGCACAGTGCTGCACTATAATTTGTGTTTCCATGACAATGATGCATTATCATTGTTTACATGACTTTTCTTTTCAATTACATTTAACATTTAATATCGAGGTTCTTCTGAGAAAAGTTTGGGACTGAGAGATCCCGTTGCCCATTTTAACGTCATAAAAATATTATAATATCACGACATTTAAAATATTTAAGTGTTAAATCATATAAAAAGTAAATTAAAAAATATTTTAATTTTTCTAAATTACATGGTTGATTAGACACGATTTTAGATTCTAAAACCTGAATAAGTAATCTGAATCTGAAAGCTAGTAATTTTAATAGATGCGTCCTTAAAAAAGTGACCAATTCCTCCAATTATGGAAGATTTTTTCTTTTTGTTTTGGTTTTCTATTGATAGAAATCTTTAATGAGTTCTCTGCACTTTTTTTATTTATTTTTTTTCAAATCCTGAAGTCGTATGCTTACAAAAAGGACATGAAAAGTTTACTTTTGAATACTTCGTACAGTTCTATTCAACTTGTTATTTTAGTCGCTGCAATCGAGATAATTTTATGTGAAAATTTTTTATTATAATAAAAAAATTAGATATAATTATTTTTAAAAATTTTTTATTATAATAAAATTTAAATTCTAAACTTAAATTAACGAAAAGAACGTAACCTAAAATATTGAAAGCAGCCATCGGAAACAACAGGGTACGCCAAAATTTTCCACCAAAAACGTGAAGCATGAGTAACCCGATAATATACCTGTTATATTATAAATTTATAAAACTTTTTTCATTTGGATCTTTTCCACGTCCAATCAACCAAAGCTAATTATATACGTTTTAAATTGCTCATATGACTCGTAATCTTATCAAGCACTGGATTGAACTGGATGAACTTGTCATCTTGGTTGCCACTTGCTTTGCAAGTGTGTGTGTGTGTCTATTTATATATATATATATATATATATATATCATGAATATACTGAAGATATTGTTTTAATTAATTAGTTAATTAAGCATACGTATGTTAAAATATAGAATTAACGAGAAACATTCTATCTGCTTGACTCACAAAGAATCACATCAATTAGTACGTCGTTAATATTTTATTGTAATATTGAACCAAAGGTCCCTTTACCAACCGGTACTCTAAAAAATAATTTCAGAATTGGACATAAGCAAGAACAATGCACGTTTATTTTACCGATTTGATTTAAACTTTGAATTTTGTTATAATAAAAAGTTTTAAAAAGTATTCATATCTAACATTTTTATTACAGTAAAAAATTCTCACATAAAGTCATATCTCAATTCGAATTAAAAACTTAAATCAGCGAACTAAACGAACCATAATTAAAACATTTTTTGATTAGCAGTATATGTAGAAGATTTTTTTTTTTCCTGGTAATCCGGACAAATATAGTTAATTTTAATATGAATACAACATATATGCGCAATAAACTGTTTGTTACTTTGGTAGACTTGTTATATATATATATATATATGATCACGCTATTAGGTGGACAGTCTGGCCAACATAACATGTTAATATTAATATGTAAAAGTAAAAAACATTATATAATAGTCAGTAAACGTAAAATATTGATGTTACACTTTTTTAATGTTAATATTATATGTAGTGACTGTTATATTATGTTTTTCACTTCTGCATATTACCTTGGAGGGATTATCTCAAACCCTAAAAAAATTCTGAATGATGTGCAAAATATTTGCATGTCTCTAATCCTTACATAGCATGGATGTAATATAATTTAGTAAAATATATGCATATATAGAGGATCGAGATCAGATCAGGCATTATTGACGTGGTGATAAGAATAAACCGATTTTATATCATGAAACAAAATGTGAGAAAAACATGTAATTATGTTCTTTTTGCTAATAGACAAAAACATGTAATATGGGGTACAAGATTTTCCACATAAAAACAATAATATATGTAATGCACCCAAGACACATCTTTAAAAACAATAATATATGTAATGCACCCAAGACACATCTTTGTAGGACAGCCATGAGTGAAAGGGAGAGATTGATGGCGTTGGACAGCTGGTAGGTCTAGATGCTTGCCTTTTTTTTTTTTTTTTGGTGGGTTGTTTTGTTTTTTTTTTTTTTTTTTTTTTTTTTTTTTTTTTTTTTTATAATTAGATGCATGCCTTGTTGATTCTCAATATTTATAACTTGGAGGTACAGTCCCTATAAAACAATAAAAATAATTATAATAATATGAGTATTCACAAGTTGACAACTCGAAGTCACCTTTTGAGCAAGTAAGTTCATCTAAAATAGTAGTAATTATACAATTTCTTGGGCTTTGTTCACTTTCTGAATTCAAGTTTCCAATTTAAATTGAGATGTGACATTTTTTTATAATTTTTTACTATAGCAGAAAAAATTAAATGTGACATTTTCTGAGAGCCTTTTACTGTAAAAATTTAAAATCGAAAACTTGAATCGGTGAAATGAACGAGACCTTGATTTGGCAACAAACCGAAATGGAACGATACATACGGACTAATTTTTATTGGTTAAGTTTTTATCAGTAATTATTAATTAAATATAAAAATTTAATAATGTGTTGTGATAAGAATTTAATTTTATTAATCATCATAAATTATTTTGATCAACTATCTAATTTAATATAACCGTTGAATCAATACCATACGGTTGAAACAATAATTTTCCTAAACAAATAAATATTAGAATAACTATCAAAATCAACTTATATATATATACATATATAAGGAACTTCTACAGTCTAGTTAGCTTTACAGAAATGATGTTTCTTTTCGTCGTGTAAATTACCCTATATTTGTATTTACAGTACTTTGTACAGTAGGCTAAGTTTATGCATGTATCAAATTTA